ATGTCAGCTTATGCTTATGTCACGGCGATTACTAAAGAGAACAACATTGGAGAATTAAGTGATGGTAGGTTGCTACTGTTCTCACTAGCGTTCAACTCATGTTCGTGGAACTCGCGATAACAATTCGGCCTCGTATGCATGGTCCGGTAGCTTAAAGGGCAAATAAACTAAAAAAGCTTATGACCGAGACTAGTTTTGAAAGACCATACGTTCAGACGGTGCCTAAGTTAACTAATCAATAAAAGTTAACCTTACCATATTGGGCAAATTAAAAGGTCGTCTGTGTTGCATCGGGTAAAAGCTCGCAGTTGAAGTGGCTCAATCCAGACATGTTAGCAAATACCACAGAAAAGGAGAGTAACTTTCAACGATAAAATATTCGGTCACTTAACTTTTCCCACTTTAACTCTACAGAACACACAGGGAAATAGGTCTCTAGAGAATTGGGCAACCAATGCTTAATTAAATTAAAAAGGCACTGTAGTTACACAAAAAAAAGACTTGTGTTTAATATAGCCTAATCCTCAAGGACTGAGAATATAGGTCTGCGTGTGCGAACAATATTAACAAAGGTTTTAATTAATCAAAAATGCTCTTTTCAAAAATAAATATTGCAAAAGGCAGAAGTCTTAAGACTCGAGGGAAAAGAACTCAAGTCTGCAAACACCATAGGTAACATTAGCAAATGCTTTATCAATTAACAAAAATGTCTTCAAAAATAAATATTACAAAAAGCACTTTAGCGGCTCGTTGCTAAAAAAGGATTCTGTTAGAGCCCAAAGACTCAAGGGAAAAGGACAGAGTCTGCAAACACAATAGGTAATAATAACTAAAGCTTTATTTATTGAAAAATAATTTTTTTCAAAAACAAATCTTACTATAGAGGCTCTTGAGCGGCACGCTGCAAAAAAAGCAGACAACTGGAAGAGGCCGCAAACCCTTACGACTGCAAGTTACGATCAAGCGCGAGGATTATACAAATAAAACTGCCTTTGAATATAGTGAATCTGCGCGAAAATCAGACGCACACAACTTTTTCCTTTGGAATGGAGGGACACATGATCATAATAATCCATTCAATTTGTCCAAAAACGTATTTCAAAACCTCCGTTGTAGAGAATCCTTCTCGAAAGAATGGGCTCTTCATTTTTCGAAGGGGTGGATTAAAAAATGGTCTTTTGTCCAGTCCCGACAAGGTGTGAATTTCTCGGATCAAAATGGCACTTGAAAGTCGTGCCTTAACGAGTTTTGTCAAGCCAAACCAAACGACAGAATTTTAAAATATTCCCAACAGGAATTCTTAAAGACCATCGCGGGAACAGGAAACAACCGTAGACGACATATAGAAAACTAGAATACAACGATATTAGCTTAACAGTTTATATCATCAATTGGTATTTTTTCACAGTTTCTATTTGAGTACCTTTGGCTGAAGCCTTGCTGAATTACGAGATACTAGAGCCTAAAGACTCAAGGGAAAAGAACACGAGTCTGCAAACACAATTGGTAACAATGACAAAGGCCTTATTTATTAAAAAACAAAAAGGATTCTGCTAGAGCCCAAAGACTCAAGGGAAAAGAACACGAGTCTGCAAACACAATAGGTAATAATAACTAAAACATTATTTATTAAAAATACTGTTTTCGAAAGCAAATATTACAAAAGGCTCTACAGGGGCACGCTGCAAAATCAATAAATTGAGAATAAAAATGAAAAAAGTTTTTGCCAAAATAAATATTACATGTCAGTTTTTTTATCCTTTCTTCATTTAAACTGCGAACATAACGAAATCATGATGATAAAAATAGATAAATGTAATAGACTCTGATGATGATCAATGTGGAGATGAAAAATGCGAACGAAAACTAAATCACACATAAACTGTGAACGAAAAATAGCCAGGACTAAGTAACTGCCAATGGAACTTTATAAATACCAAAGTTGAGCTTTCTGGAGTCAGCATAATTCATTTGAAAAACATCTTAAGAACATCTGCATTTCATATCCATAACTTATCGTTCGAAAAGGAAGCTATGAGTATAAAGAATAAGTAAAGTGAGTTTGCTTATTATTAGATACTCTGAATATTTATTATATTTTACCAAAGTTTCCAGGGCAACATGCAATTTTATTTTGTCAATATACTTTATTTTATAGATATGTTGATTTATTCATTTTTGATCAATTTTATATTTCAATATAATAGGGTAAATTGTTTTATTTGGTATATTATATTTTATTTGTTAACAGGCCAGAGAGCATAAAATAGCGTTAGTTTTGGTGGAATTTGGGTACTCCCATTTCGTCGAAGAAAAAAGCAGCAAAAAAATCACCATCATATGTAGGTTAAGAAAATTAGCAGCTAATAAGACTGACGTGAACCTTAAGCTAGACCCTGACTTTTTTTTTTCAGTCTGTGCTACAAATGACACGCTTTATCCACGATAAAAACTTTCAATTTTTTTTTTTACGGCGTTGTAAGTGGATTTCTAAAATTGCGAGACTTAGGGCTTCACGGGTTAGTTTAGTTCTTAAAATGATATAAATTTCAGTTTGTAGATATATAGTATGAAATGGACCGTGATAATGATCATTGAAGGAAGGAAAGATGAACGAAAACTGAATCACTCAAATATACCTAAACTGTGAAAAAAAAAGCGCGTGATATAAATGACCGCCCAGAAACCCAGTTTCGCTGCCAGGCCATTTCCCGTTCCTCTATTTTTCTTTTCGCTTTTTCTTAAACGAAGAGGGAATGCTTACAGTCTACTATAGGCAGACTATAACTTTTTTCAACCGTGCTGAAAATAACTTGTTGTGCCCACGATAAAAACTCTCATTAATCTTGGTGTTCCTACCTCTTTTCTTTTTTTGTCATTTTCTCGTTATTTTTTTTTGTTTTTATTTATTTATTTATTTATTTATTTTTTGCTGCTTGGTGCATACTGTCAACCGCATAATGTTAGGGATTCTACGTTTGCAGTTACAGAAGCATATGGATTTTAATTATTAATTTTTCAACTTGCAGTATTCTTTTTCTCTTTCTTTCTTTCTTCCTTCCTTTCTTCCTTTCTTTCTTTCCTTCTTTCTCTCTTTCTTTCTTTCTTTCTTTCTTAAATACAAGCCTCGGGTGAAGAAACGAGCCTCGATTAAAGAAACGAGGCTCGATTGAAAAATTGAGCCTCGATTACAAAATTCCGAAATCGAGGCTCGATCATTTTAGAGGGCGGCAAAACTTGGTACCGTGGTCGTTTTATATCGAGAGCTTTTAGTCTGGTTTACCAGAAACCTTGAGTGATCCCTGTTTAGGTTCAATCACGAGAAAGAGTTAACTGCAGACTTAAGGTAAAGTACAAGTTTATATCATTACACTGTAACAGTGGTGTCATGACAAGTACTCGTGTACAGCGATCAAGTAAATTATATATTTCGTGCAACATGTTAAGAAACCGAATTCCGCTGATTTCTTTCCGCATTCTATGCCTATTAAAAATAGCCTCTAGTAGGAATGGGCACCTGAGGAAGTTTGCTTCCTCCAGAAGGGCTTTAGTTCTATGAAAAACGGGAAATTAAGTATTTTCCTGTTGATAAGGTCAATACTGGTTTCCTGAGAGAAATATTTAGTAGAAATGTTTTTAAAAGTTCTGGTAGAAGACAAAATTTTGTTTCCACGTTAAGGTTTTTGTCAAGTCTGTAAGAAGCGGAAAGTTTTAAAATTAAGATATTACATGTGCAAATTTTTGTGTTAGTCTGAGAACAATATATTTACTTAAGGAACAACAGACTGCTCGATAAACTGGCGAGCAATGCAAGCGAATAAAATTTTAATTTAGTGAATTTGTTTTAACTACTCTAAGGAAATAATAACCACCTTCTCCAAAGACTTAGTCGTTTGATGGTGCTCAGGTGGATAGCCCACATATTCTATTATCACACCGGCAGCGGCTGCATATAACTTTCTTACAACCTAATTTGTTATATGCAACACGCTAAAGCAGCAAGAGCTAATTTGATACAGATCATCTCCTAAAAACAAAGTACTTGACTGTGTGGGTGAACATAAAATGAACCCCGTTATGGTCATTTGAACAGAGACATCATGCTACCTATGCAGACCGGTAAGAACTAGACAATAGGGACTTAAACACGCTTTAGGAATTTGTCATCAGATGATTTCTTTTTGGGTTTCCTTTCAAAAATCTTTATTGTTGAAACCAGTGTGTCGACATCGATGGGAATAAATGCGAGTAACGAGCATCCATATGTTCCGACATGTATTCGAGAATAAGCCGTAATGTAATAAAGATCGTCGGTGGAAAATGTCGTTTGAGATCAGAAGAGTGAAAAGACAATAGACTTCTTATCTTGCCTCACAAATCTTGCCGTCTGGAAAATCAGATACCATCTTCACGGTACATTAAACCTTCAGCGGCGTTCAGTCATTCTTCTCTCAAAGGATTCAAATTCATCTCGATTTTTTGTTTTTTTGTTTGTTCTTTTTTCCAGAGGATGAAAAACTTCGTCAATATCAGTGCGCAACAAACGCAGACCAAGACCCTGTTCTAAAGCCGCGGTTACACGAGCGATTTTTTTGCTTGCGATGGTGACGCGATTTTGTCAGTTTCACGGAATGAGTTTAATTCAAACAAGTTTCATTCGTGACCATTCACACAAATTTAATTTGGTTTCATCACTCTTTGTCAGTCTCTCAGTTGCGACATTCTGTGTCTTGACCGACCCTCCCTGAGTAGCAAGTGACCTTGAACAAAAAGTAACTCCCTACTCCTCCCCAGGGTAAGATTTGACATAAACGCGCTTTCGCTAAATATTCAAATTTCGCGCTCGTGCAGTAATCGGCTATGTTTGAATTTACCTCGTGAATTTAGCTATTGTAATGGAAGAGAGTTTGAATTTCCCTCGTGAATTAATAAGCCATTGTTTGGCTCTAAAGCTATTGTTTCAAGATATCCTTTTATGGATATTTGAGATAGGGCATTGTCTTTGAATTTGATTAGCTTTTCTTGATACGTGGTTGTTTCAGTACATGGTTTGCGGAAAGAATATTGCATTTATTCCAAGTTCTCAACGTTCATGAACGTCTTCGAACAGACTTAAATATGGCAAATAACTAACAATCTAAATTAAAAAAGATAAATTTAGTCGATTTTGTAACTTTGGAAAGTAAATTTAGATCAACTGAGGTAGTTACCGTGAGCAAACTATGTCAATTCTTTTGACAGCGTTTAACGTAAAATATCATGGTCTTTCTTCTGTTCGTGAGGGATAATTATGTTCACAGTATTCTAATTCATTGAAGTTATTTCCGTTTACTTCAAATAGTGAAAGATCTTCGCCTGTGTCGAAAATGTATCATGTAAATACGGTTGATGACAAAGCCATCTGTAAACAGAATATCTGAAATAGTTGCGTAAAGGAACGATTTTTTTAACCAGGCATATATCGTTAGTTGAAAAGTACTGTGATCGAGGATAAATATTCTCATGGTCACGTCCAATCCTACTGTAAACGTCCTCACATTCTGTGTTTTATTTTTAAAGAGTAGCCAGTCCACGATTCAGAGGTAATCAAATATCATCAACTAGATCCATAAATTCTGATGTAGTGTAGCTTTACATATCCATCAAATAACAATACGTGTTGAATAAATGATGCATTCCGGCTGTTAACTCAGTAAATGCTCAGTTCCGGGCCCACAGCTGACTGGTTGTCGGCCGAACGCAAAATATCTTAATATAATTGTTTTATAACTTCTGTGGCTGTAGCTTTATCATGGCCATAATTATGGATGTTAAAGTTTGAGGTAGACCACGAGTAGTCCCTCTTTTTCCTTAGAGATGATAGGGCTTACAAAATACATGAGCGCGCGTGAAAATCACCGCGCGCCGTTTTTTGCGCGCGCGCGCGTATTTTTCTAACGATCACTCAATTTTTTTAACGATCATTCCAGCATAATTTTTACTTCACGGTACAAGTTAAGAAATTGGTGTCTGATTTCTTCCCGAATTCTTTACCTCTAACGATCTTTTAGTAGAAATAGACACCTGATGTAGTTTATTTCCCCCAGAAGTGCTTTATTTCCGAGCAAAATGGGAAATTTATTTTTCTGTTGAGATGGTCAATAGACCCAAATTTGACGCGATAAAAGTGCATCGCGCGGGCCAACAAAGTGTGCAAAAATAAATTAGATACTTTCTATCGACACAAAATTTCTTTTTATTCACTAGAAATCACTTAAAGGGCAGAAGCGGTGAAATTAACCAAACAAGAATGGCGAAGGACAATTCGAAAATAAAAAGCAGCTTGCGATGATTATAGAAGCCTTTGATGACATGATTAAAAAATGTGCCATAACTCCGAATGAACATGTATGTATTTTTGGTTAAACAAGAACACAAACATTCTTTTAAAGATCTTACAACTTGCTTGGGATGTGGCCAACTGTTTGTTCAGGGTATCTTCACCGTTACCAAATTTTTAAAATACAGAGCCTCCCAAAGTAGAACTGTTTACGCATTCTCTCTTTAATTCATCACTTGTAACTCCAGCCACGAAGTTCTTTTTTTTTCCGAGAAAAATGAAAGTCTATGGCTGGATATCATTAATTCATGGAGTAACCATGAAGTGCAACTAGCGTATTTGGCAAGGCAAGCAATTTTCGCCATGTATTGTTTCAGAATGCACTGGACAATTCAGTGAAGCCCCGTTTGCCAACTTTACAGATGTATTCAACAGGTTAGTAGGAAAACCTGCGCAGGTCTAAAGTATGTTCGAAAACAATCAATCTCGCGATTTACAAAGAGTAGAATTTATTTTGAGTTATGGCTTATCATCATGTCAAATGTCATAGAAAATGGCTTTCCAGTCTCTAATGATAATCGAAACCTGGCTTATATTTTGAATTCTTCGTGTTTGATTAATTTTACTACTGCCCTTTCATCGATGGCTTGTAGAAAGAAGAAATACTTTTTCGTTTCCTTTTCTGTGCGCGATACGAGTTTACAGAACCCAGTTTCAAGATATAATTATGGCCATTTTTCGGTTTTTCTTCAAATTTATATCCTTCTAGTAGAAACGATCTACATCAGGTTTCTTTCCTTACTGACGGCTATTCATAAGGACAAAATGAAAGAAATTTAATTTTCAGCTTGATGCGGAAACTTAACAAACTGAGATTAGGCTCGAAAAAGCTAGCAGCACTTAAAGTTCAAAGTGGGGCTCTCACTTTTGGCGCATCCCTCTTCTGTCCAAAGTGCCGCACCGGAAAAAAGGAGAAAGTGGCTTTTTCAATAATGTAAAAGATTTCAACTAGTGTCGACAGCAATTGCTGTGTCTAACATCTATTTTGATTTAAAACCATGAGGACAAAAAACCTTTCATGATATTAACATTTTCTTTGCATAGAGTGAAATAACAAAATGGCGGCCCACCTTAGGAGACTCTTTCATTCCTATGAGCACAATTATATTGGAAAGTCTATCAAAATGGATGAACTAAGAGCGCTTACGCTCCCAAATAGTGTGAAAATTGGATTTCAACAAATTATAGCCCTTGCTGGAGATTTCTATGGTTTACCGAAACAACCAATCATTGCGGATCCTTCTAAAGGACAAGAAGAAGACTCGGGTCGCCAGCAGCGCTTCAGAGATGGATACAACACTCTGGCACGCGCACCGAAAGATGAGTTACTGGAGGAGCTAGACAAACTGCTGGGCACACTGGAGAAAGAAAGCAAAAACGGTAAAACCATTGATTCGAAAATATGGGACGAAATCACTGGTGGTAAATGGCTCGGTCCGCTGCCAATGAAAGGGGGTAGGATGCTGCAATTAGCTGAAAATAATCACGACCATTTTCATCCCCACGCAAAGGACGCTTACCTGACTGGCCATCAGCTGGCGATTGACAAAGCACGGGAAGCTGGTTACTATCGCGGGGGTGATGAAGATAAGCGCAAGAGGCTTCTTCACGAAGCATTTTCACTGGACGCGTTTGCTCTCCATTTCCTTACTGACAGCTTCGCAAGTGGACACATAAGGTGAATAACATAACAGAACATAACATCACATCACATCACATCACATCACATCGCATCACATCACATCAAATCACATCACATCACATCACATAACATCACATAACACCACATAACATCACATTACACCACATCACATCACATAATAACACATCACATAACATCACGGCATCGCATAGCATGACATTTCACAACATTAAAATTTTATAATTTAATAGTTTTATTATTGCATACGTCTTAAACCTTTCTTAATTTGTGCTTTAATTTTATTTCCGCGTACGTATATAGTGGTACCCTAATACCTTAGTTCATTAATATTTAGGGATATTGTGCCTTTTACATTAAAGGTGTTTGCGTCGATTAAATTTCTATATTCAGAATCAGACCACTTGCTGACAAATCTCTGCTTTCAGGACACCGAGAGTTGAATTGGGCAAGGGAACTACCTCTACCAAAGTTGGCAATTTGCTTTGTATGTACATGCACGATGAAGATAACAAGTATGGGCTGCGTGTCACAAACAAGAGAGGAGACAAGTGGATTGCATATGGCGATGGAAGGCTTCTTGATGAAGAGAGCAGGGATAATCTAAAGATTGTAGCAGATACTGTTCAGAAATCAGTTGATCAAGTGTACGACGCTTACACAAACCCCAGAAAAACTCTTGACCATGCTGTGGTGACCGACCTGATACCATTTGTTGACCAAGATGAAAGAAACAACTCTCCCTTGTTCCAAGTGAAAGATGGAGAGCTGCACAGGAGATCAGACATCAGTGACCTTCAGGATAAGGAAACTGTTACCAACTGGTGGGGGCCAACAACAGCAGTTATGCTACGGTGTTACAATCCGAAAAACCCTGCGATTTAGACATGCAGTTGTTCTTAGTGATTAGTGAACTTGGCAATAAGTTGCTGGAATGTTTGTTCCCAGTTTTCATGTCTTCTCATTGCTTTAGTAACTAATTTTAAGGATTACATTTGCAAAAAACAAGCAATCTAGTCCGTTATCATGATAGGGTCGATTCTTTTAGGAAAGAGGACCCAGGAACCTCACCGTGTTCAGTATTCACGGGAGATTACACTGATTACATTGATCATAGTAGTAATAATATCAAGAAGTGATTTTGGAGTTCTATAAATTGTGTGAGTACAACCAAGTAATTGACTGCATAGTCATGTTACAAAACCGGATTTTTTCCTATTCTTGGGTGTCATGATGTCAGTTGAACAATTACGATTTTGAAGAAATTGTGTGTGTGTGTGTGTGTAAATTATACAATTATCATTTTATTTTTCTGAGGCCACTTTTCAGTGGTGGTAGTCTATTTTGTAAGATATCTAAGTTTCTTTAGCTTTTGAATTGTTAAAATGTAAAGAAAGGTTAAAAGGAACGATTCACAGTTGCAGTTATTTACCCAGTGAATGAATGATAACATTTTGCTCAACCATTAAAGTATTAAGAGCGCTAGTGTGCCTTGTTATCCTTGTTTCGTTACCGGAATATACCGCTTCTCGAATAAGTGCCCCCTCTTCCCCCCTCTTTTCTCAATAATAGTAGGATTAAGCGCGCGTGGAAATACGATTATGCAAAATGCTTTTTGTTATTTATGAGAACTATTCCAAATGAAGTCTTTTTAGATACCAAGTATTCGAGGAGATTAATCTGGTATTTTCTGCATTAACTTAAAGATAACTGCAAGATACTACAAATCATAGAGAATACGGGAATATGCCTTGTGTGGTAAACGCTATATATCTAGGCAAAAAACAAAGCTAGTTAAGATGTGGTGGCAGATTCAAACGGAAGGAAAAATAAATATGATCCTCATCTTGACAGGGACCTAAACCACAGAAGTTACCAAAATCCTTACACATTGGGCGATAGCCTACCAACGAATTGGAAGAACTTGGAGGGACAGAAGCTCTTGACTGATAACTGGATGACCTTAGCTGAGAGGAACCGGCTCGTTGCTACTGACGACACTTATCCTTGACCGCTTTTCTCTCCGCTCTCCTCTCTACTTGAAACATTTCCTTTTCGTCATCAGAATTTGATGTGAGCTCGTCAGATAGATACTTGTTGTCTGTAAGCCAACCAAACTCGCACAAGTCAGCGAATTTGATGGTCTTTCAATACTAAAGTAGTACCTTTTAGGGCACGTTTCACTTTCTCAAAGGACGTGTGAAGCGCCATCCAACTTACCGAGGACTTGAAATTCCTGATTGAGTTCTGTTGGTTTCCCCTCCGAACATGTGTAGTTCTCACGGTTTGCTCAACCGCAGCACCATTACTTTCAGAAAAACTTGGACACCATATTCCCACCAATAGTGTGGCTCCATTTCTTTGGCCTGACGAAGGGCTGATGCTCGAAACGTCAGTATTTAAACTCCAATTGGTGGCCAATTTACGTTATCAACTCAGTTGATAATACTTAGATGCCCAGGTATAATCTCCCACCGACGCAGCACCACAGTTTCTTTACAAATTTACCCCCTTTGTTCAATAATATGCAGCCATTTTGACCAAGCATGCTTGGTCAATAAAGGATTCATCATATAGCAAAAAGATTTCGCTCAATTAAGATTCAAAAATTGACTTGTTTATTTCGAGAGACGGGAAAGAAAGCCAACTGCTTTTGGGGCACAATAAACCCACGAGAGTTGTTTATGTTTTCCTTATTTTGACTGTATTCTACCGCCTTTAGCGACTGCATCGCCAAGTCTTAGGAATTTTCTTTCTTGCGCGGGACTAAAGAGGGAAATCCGAAGCGGGCAAGATGGGCCCATCTTGCCCGCTCGGGTAGCCAATCAGAACACAGGATTCGCTTTCATATTGCTCACGGGCGTCGCCAGTGATATATCATAAAGGCTTCAAGAAAAGCTGAAACTTGCACTGAGCCTAAAAGTAGAAGCATAGTTGACCACGACGATGATCTTTCGAAGTTATGGTTGACGGAAGGAATTCCTTTCCCCTGCACATTCCTCACTTTCCTAACTTCCTGTTCCTCCGAAGAGATCATGTAAAAATATCCTTGCCTAGATTTACGATCTTCAGGACGTAGGACTGAGTTTCTTTGAAGATTCAAATTTGACCCTGTGATTTCAACGTCTCTTCAATAGAAGAGGTGTCGCTCCTTCTACTGTCCTTACTAATAAACCCGCTGAACTAAGTCACAAGCACTCTCGGCTCGTGACACGATCGAGCTCACTTCAGACATGGGGGTCTCCACAGGCTATACTCCAATAGATCCAATCACAACCGCTGACCCTGCTGACCCTAAAGGTAATAGGCCCGGAGGGATGTAGGTGAGGAGCTGATTACGAAGTCACCCTTGCGGATGGCTTTTGATTTCTTTGCTGAGGCATGGAAACAGCGCATTGGCGACAGCTGTAAAGAAAACCTCGGACCGAAGGCTAAACTGATTCTGTTTGATCATGCAACATTTGAATATGAAATCTATCTGTTACTTATTGCTGTATGCATCGACAACAAGGGGCAAATCCTAATACCAAGGCAACAAGAAACTTAAAAAAAAAAACGGTTAAGCACGAAAAGAGGACAAGAGATGCCAGAAAGCATACGTCAGAGAGAGGCTGAGGTGTGAACATCAAAGAGAGGCTATTGAGGTTTTTTCAAAGAAAAATGGAATCTGATGCAGTTTCACAGGGAGTTAAATTTCAGAAAGACGACGACATGACCCCAAACGAAGGGGAAAGCCAAATAGACCTTGTGACTTGCACCACGCAGTTGACATGCAGTATTCGTCAATGGTCTGTAAAACGCCAAGAAACGATTGAAACATTGCGAAGCCTGGCAGATGAACTTATGGAACATTACAAGAATGTTCACATTGCCAAGATCTCGGGCTCATCAGCATCAATCGGAGGCTTTGTTTTAGCCGCTACGGGGTTCGGTCTCGCTGCTGTCAGTCTTGGGACTTCACTGATTCTATCTGCGGTTGGAGGAGCGATCTGCGCCGGCGGAGGCGCTACTGTGGCTGGTTCCAGCATTGTACAATCGAAAATTTTCAAAACAAAGCTCGCGACGGCGCAAGAAATCATCGACGCCGATCGCAAAGCACAGGAACCTGTGCAGAGGCTTTTAGATGACCTTTGTCGTGAAGTATCCAAAGAATCGTTTAGCAGCGTGAAAAATAGTCTCGCTTGCAATGTAAGTGTCGCCTTGTTGGTGAAAAACCTCGTCGATGTGAGTAACGGAATAAATATGACCGGCGCTAGTGTGGCAACGACAGTGGCAAGTGAGGGTATGGATGGAATACTCCGATCTATAGGTATAGCTGGAAACACCGCTCGGATTGGAATATTCGCAGTGAGCATTGCACTTCTCCCTTTGGACATTTACACTATGGTAACTTCCTTTACGGAAATTGACGCCGTTCGAAAAGGAAAGAAAGAGAAGGAGCCAGAGGCGGTTAAAAAGTTAAGAGAGCTGGCAGATGATTTGGAGAAGGAAATGAACGAGATACTTCAAGCTGTCGAAGAATTTCAGCGAAAAAAACCTCTATGACTTTTATTTGAGGAAAAATATAAACATTACAACGCAAAGGCAAATCTCGTGCCAGCGGCCTTTATAGTTGGTACGGTCGTAAAGCTTACGTTAAACATCAACCGACACAATTTTGTAATTCGTCGGTTTATTGCTCGAGGATTTTTCAATCTGGCGCCATTAGAAGATAGGAAAAATAGAAAATGATGAACAACTGATAAAACAGTAGATTGCGAGATGATTTGGCTTTCGTCGATGGAATCGATTCATTAACGAAACAAAAAATTACGATCATCCAATTTACATTTTCGACTGAAGGGCACCCGTAGTTGTCACGTTGCTGCGGTAACCAATGCAAAAGGGAAGAATTTACGGCTAAAAGAATAACTGCGATTTCGTGAGGGCAAAACGAAAGGATTCGTTTGTAGATAATCTATTTATTAATTGTTAAGAAACAAAAAGTGCGAGTGTTTCAGTATTTAGATCTATCAATTCACCTATCCCTGATTACCACCTGTTTGAACGTCATGTTTTAACATGCATGAGTGGTAGAACTGTCACTCAGTCGGCTACCTGCCTAGCGATTTTTGGGTCATTACAATTTCAGATTAAACATTCCCGGCCAAAACTCATCTCCAAAATAGCGACTGGAAATTAAACTACTTGGTATCAACTGGACCTGAGATCGACGAAAGCCTAAAAATAAGTATTCTTTTGCTGGAAATCGATCTATAAAAGATTCCATGCAGCCTTATCTTTGGAATTGCGCCAAATTTTTTATACGTATTGTACTTACGATTTACTTTCTTGCAACGAAGGTCATTTTTTCTTGTTATTATTTGTTTGTTTTTGTTTGCCGTTTTTTAAATTCAGTCGCGTTCGGAGAAGATCTGTTTTGAGGAGTGGCATGGTGGGAAGGGCTTCAGTGAACACACAGCAATCTGATGACTAAGTATATTCTCCATACTGTTCTCTGTATATTTCCTTTATGTTAACAAGGTGAATTTGCACATGGATCAAGAAGTACCTCAGTTGGTGATCATTTTAGAGTTAACACATAGACACTGAAACAAATCTTTCTGTGTACATCTAAATTATTCTTCATTAGATCAAGTTTTGTCTATATTCATCAACAACTCAAAGCCAACGCCGTACAGAATCATGGACGGGTTCAAATTTTTTTCATAGCTATAGGCATTTGCGGTTGACAACAGCGGGGCCCTCTTCATCATATTCTTGCTTAGAGATCCACATGGACTGAAAATCCGATAACGAAGCCAGGATTGATCCCCCAATCCATGCAGAGTATTTAGGCTCAGGAGGAGCAATGATCTTGACCTTTCTTGTAGGTGAAGCCCCGGCGAGTCCAGTGATCTCCTTCTGCACTCTTTCAGCAATTCCTTTGAACATAGTGGAGCCACCAGACAAGACAATATTGGCGTACATTTCATTTCTGATGTCTTCGTTGCACTTCACGATGGACTCAAATACGAGCTGATGGATGCCGGGTGACAACGCTAAACTATTGTCAGCCATGGAGGGCTGGAACAGGACCTCGGGACATCTAAATCTCTCGTCGCCAAGAGTGACAAACTGACCATCAGAGAGTTCATAGCTTCTCTGCAAGCTCGGATCAGAGGCAGCAGTACTCATCTCCTTTTCAAAGTCCTGAGCGACATAGCAAAGCCTCTCTTTAACATCTCTTGCTAATCTGTGCTCGGTTAGAGTCTTGCCCCGTTCGCCCAGAATCTTTGTGAGATAATCTGTCAAATTCGTACCAGCCAAATCGAGACTCGAAACGTTCTGGCGAAGAGCGAAACCTTCACTGATAGGGACGGCGTAACTGACGCCGAAACCACTCTGGAGGACGATACCATCCTTACGGCCAGAGGCGTAGAGAGACAGGACAGGTGCTGGAGCTAAATACATCGCTGGTGTATGGAAGGTCTCGAACATGATCTATTGAAATAGAGATAACAGAAATTAACTGAAGCACTTGCCTCCCACGCTGGCATTGTTTAGTTGTATAAAAACTAAACCTGAATAGAGATATTTTGAGTCTCTGCTTCCCCGTAAATCGCCTTTACCAATTTTTTCGTCCCTATCCTATATCAGTAGCAAAATGTTTCGGTGGGCATTGTTGAATAGCTTGGGCGAACATTTTTCTAGGTCAAATTGGAGCTACGGCGATGCTTTCCTTGCGAAACTAGACACTTGATAGGTTTGCTTGAATTTCCGGCCGCCATATTCGCACTCCTCCTAAGTCCTGTATATTTTTATTGAGACATTTTTTCGAATATTTCATCGGCGGGAAACTGCAAAGATGCTTTGATTATTGATTGATATTCTTCCATATCTCGAAATTATTGGCTTTAGGCGTAAAGTGGTTCTGATCTCTCGTTCGCGTGACTGTGGACTGACCACCCTCTTCATATAAGCTGTCCAGCACATCTCGCTCTGTGCAGATATCTGTTTAGGCTTCACGAACTATTTTCAGTTACCTCTGTTGTCTTCTCTCTGTTTACTTGTGGATTAAATGGGGCTTCTGTCAGAAGAACGGGGCGTTCTTCGGGACTTACACCCAGCTGGGCGAAAGTGTAATGCCAGATCTGCAACATAACATTCATATCTTAATACATAATTGTTTTTACTTTTCCTTATTAGATCCTGACACAATTTGAATTTAAATCACCGTTTCCATGTCCTCCCAGTTAGTTATGATCGAGTTCTTGACTGGGTATGTAAGATCCAGATCGCCCCTCTTATCCAAGGCACCATTTCCGACGAGCGGATCTTCGCGATCTGCTTGTTCTTGTAATTTCGCGTACTTTGGATGACCAACGACGGAGGTAAACTCTACTTGAGGAGACTCGTCTTTGGCAAATCCCGCTTTGATTGTATCAGACCCATTATCCAAAACAACAGCTTTGGCGAGCGACATTCTGTTTTTCCTGACCTTAGCTTTTCTGCTATTCACTTTCTCTCGGGAGGAGAAATTATAGAGGACTAAGGGAAATTATTGCGTGACAAGGGTTGTCACGTAACAGTTAATATGTTTTTTTTCATGGGGCAGTCTACGTTCGAAATTATTTTGAATTTTCCTACATCTATAATTTCGCTCAAAGTCTTTTCGAATTTTCATCTCTTAGGATCTGAAAACCAAAATTTATTTCCTTGGTATGACAGTTTTTATTCAAGTTGCTTCTCTGTTATGTTTTGTTTTTGCTTTTGTTTTGTTTTGTTTTTCATGTTATTAATATTTACAACAGTGGGGGAATTATACATGAAGGGAAAGAGAGTAAGATAATTACTCAAACTTAAATTTCCTTTTTACTACGGTGTAAAGTCTGTTAACTTTTTCAGTATCACAACACCCTCTGTCAAATAAAACATCCAGTTGAGAGAGTTCCTTAGTTTTAGCCAGCTGAAGCAATGTGTAAATGATACTCAGGGACTTCCATCTGAGGTCTAAGAGTGGGGCTTCTGTAAGAAGACAAAAAAACCAGATTACTTTTACTCAAAGAATTCCCTAGCATTCAATCTGCTCAGTGGTAATTATATAGGTTGGATAATATCTTCACCAAAGACTTGTTTTATCTTAAAGGGGCTAAGTTTCTAAATTAACTTTGGTGCTGCATTGGTGAGAGATTATAACAGGGTAATTTAGTATTATCAAGTAAGTTGATAAGATAAATCAGCCATCGTAAGAGTTTTAAAACTGACATTTCAAGCATTAGCCCTTCAACAGAGCGATTGAGTGGGGCTAACACTCGAAACATCAACTTTGAAACTCTTTACTGTGGCCAATTTACTTTATCAACTCAGTTGATAACATGAAATTACCTTGGTTTTATCATAGACTTACCAGCTGATGAAGTGATGGGAGGTAAGAGGTCCAGTAAATACTTGGCCAATTTTCCAACGACATGTTTATCTGGTAAATTCAGGATGGCATGAAGGACATCAGCATCGTCAATAACCTCCAGCATCCGAGCAGTTATATTGACATCATCAGTAGATCTTTCCTTTTCAAGAAATATTCCCATATATTTTGTCAGTGTATCTTGTTTCTCTAACATTGATAAAACATTCCATGTTGCAGGACACTTGAGTAGCTTCCCAAGACCATCCAGAGATACCTGTAACATTAGAGATATTCCATGGTTGTAAAGTGTTCTGTCTAATTATAAACTATCTGAGAATAAGAGCATATTTCAAGAAATGTTTGGCCCACTCTTTAGAAAATTGGTACACAAGTTGGACTTTTAAAAGTTTTATATATCACAGTTTTGGTGCATTTGTATGTATTTTATCCTTTCCTTCCTGTGGTTATCCACGTTTTTTACCATTTGGTTTTCTCTCACCCCGTTGGTCTTAATCAACCTCTAGTCTGCAAAGGAGCCACAGGAAGGAAAGGGGGGAGAGGTGGCTTAATGTTAGAGCTTTCTCAGCTGTTGGTTATGTGTAAGCTTAGAGACACTGAGTGGCAAAACTTGAGACTCCACTTAAAGCTTGGCTACTCATTTCGAAGGCTCTGTCACCTTTGTTTTCATAGAGCCCCCAAAAACTGCCAGCCAGTCAGGCCTGTGGTGTTTGTAGGATGTTAGCCTAGTTCTTAAGGGCCTATTATTGTCCTAAATGAATTGCACTTGCGTTAGCAATCAAGATTGCCACAGTGAGTTAACATTCAAGCATTAAATATTTGAAGCCTCCTAAAGCAAAAGAAGTTTGGGGTGGGTACCAGGCTTTCAAAGTGTAGAGTAATTAAATAAATCTAAAAGATTGATTTTGCATGACTTTTTTTAAATTTGTCAAAAACTTACCTGATAAAGAAATGAACTTGTACACTCTCTTGGATTGTTCAGAATGCTCAGAACAGTTTGCAAAGTTAAGAGAACAAACTTTATAGCACTGAGGGGAAGGAGAGCTGCCCAGGAAATGGTGATGTAGCAAAGTGATGAACAGGCTATAACTTGACAAAGATGAAACCTGTATAATGTAAAATATAGGGGGAGCAGTAATTGACATGTTACAACTCACCAATATGTCAAGTGGATATTAACAATGTAGTAGGAATGGAATTAGTGCCTTTGTTAAATAGTGACACAGGAAGGTTGTGAAATCATGGTAAAGTTGTGAATTTTGTTGGTCCATGAGGGTTGATCTTTTTCCAAGTTAACAAGGTCAATGTGTGAGGTCATTTTCTTGAAGGACAGTAACAGCAGAGGAGAAAACATGTGGGTTATTTCTAAAATTGGAGAGGTTGATGAATTATCTGTGGGTTGTATTAGCTTTGTTTGAGTTGCTTACATCATCTGTGACTTACACAATTGTACAGTAAGCTGATAATCTTTCAAATAAACAGCTCTGACCTTGTATCCTTAACCGCAAAAGATTCCTCATAAGTTGTCTGAAGATTTTTGCAAACTATAATGACTAGATGACAAAAACAAAAAGCAAAAACTAATCATGCAGTGTTACAAAAAGGTATGACTTGATTTCCACTGAATATATCAAAGTACAGCAAAGAACCAGAAAAAACAAATAAAAGAAAATGTGAATGGTCCTATAAATGTTTCGAGTGGGAATAAGTTACCTTGGGGAATGGGTGTTCATTTAGTGGGAATCTGGGTAAATATTGCCATGCTGTGATTAAATTTTAACACTTTGAAAGACAAAAGGTTGCAATTTTTGCCAGCCTGGTTGCGACAAGGCCATTGTTTCTTGTAGATTATTTTAAATAAGAGGAGAGCTCACGTTAAAAATCTTAGACTATCAACAGTGGTATTGCCTCTCCTCTCGCCCTTAAACTTCCACCACTCCACGAGGGGTACAAGTTCACACTCAGATATAACGTAAATGACACAACCTGAAGACTTATTCATCAGCTGTCTCATTTTTCTCACCTTGTGTTTCTATGTGCTGACCTTTGGGATCCAATCGCGAAGCAAAAACCCTCATAAGGCTGCAAGCCATGGATCGAACCCAAGAGCAGGAAGAGGACAGGTACGGGAGCAGTGAATTCACTTGTACTTCAGCATTAAGAGGATTTTCGGGAAGAAAACAAGGATGATTTGCAACTGCAGTTAGCAATCTACACTCTAGGATCAGAGAAACGCCAGCGGACGAAAAGTTTTTGTTGAGATTCTCCGCGTCTTTCATGACATCGTGAACGGTTGGTTTCATCTTGTCGTATTTCTTGCATAAGAGCAAAACTTCTTCTTCAGAAGGCATCATTTTGTCCATAGCTTTCACAGGCAGGGTAGAGAATTGAAGGCTGAATTCCTACTTGTTGGGATCAAAATTAATCAAAACCCGCGCGCTTTTGTATTCCAGGTCAATAAACCTTCGGTAACATCCGTCATATTTTCGCAAAAATTCGTAATCGTCCGTCGTGAAGAGCCTCGACTTCAATATTACGCGATTACGCGCGAAATACAGGTTAAAGTTGCTACAAAATGGACCTCAGTTCGTTCCAAGATAATTCACAAAATTTTACCCTAAAATCTGTGGTACCAGAAGTAACGTTAAATGAACCATGTTGTGTTGGCATCGATGAAGCAGGAAGAGGACCTGTCCTAGGTAAAACGTGGCCATTTTTGACATTTGCTCGAAGCCTTGACCTACTTTAAGTTTACATAAGGTATTTTTATCTTTCCCGTAAAATATGTAGGGCCGATGGTTTACGGAATCTGTTATTTTCCTCTGACAAAATCTGAAAAAGTGAAAAATCTTGGAGTTGCAGGTAAGCTGATAAATCTTGTCGAAACAATTCGAGAATTTAAAATGTCGACAAATGTAGCTAATTTTCCTTTTTATTTTCTTTCCAATTAGATTCTAAAACACTTACAGAGGAACAGCGCGAGGATCTGTTTAAAATCATTGATGAGAACAAGGAGTTCATTGGTTGGGCAATTGACATCTTATCATCTAATTACCTGTCTAACAGTATGCTGAGAAGGTGAATTAAGCTTTTTCTGAGAAACAGCAGTTTTTCTTCAGTTGGAGGGAAGATTTGAGGCAGGAACTGCTCAACATTCGGTTGTGTACTCAAACACCATGCAGTGAGACCATAATACAGCAAACTGATTAGGATTAGTAGTGTTTACTAAAACAGGATTTCACTGGATTGCGGTTACTTTCTCTTCATTTACATCTACGTCAGTAGGTCGTATTGGGCTTGACCGAGGTTTTATGTCTAAAATACTGGCATTTAATACTTTTATCTCGTTAGTTTTCCATTTGGTTCATACAAGATCCTGTTTTTTTCATCTATCCATCTGAATCTATGAAGGACAAACTGTTACATAATATGGAGAGCTTGGCATAGTGTTGCTGCAAAAAATATCCATACCCCTCCTTTAGAGGGTTTCAACTCACCCCCTCCCCCCCCCCCACCTTCTTTTTTAATTATATGACTTTTGAACCTGTTCTCCTGTTTCCTTTCCCTTCACACTCTTGAAAACAATTAAAATTTGTAAATAAAGATGTTTTCTATATTGTGAAGGGCATGTGACAAAGAACAAAATCTGGATCCCTATGAACAATCAAACCTGTAAGGTTCAGACTCTGATACTTTATTACTGAGGTACATAAAACTCTGTGATAAGCTACACCTTTATTAGGTTCATAAGTGTCACTCATGTTCCTGGCAAGACAAGTGATGCATTTCTTTTTTTAATGACAATCTCAAACTTTATCATCTTTCTTATTTGATTAAATTAAAGCTGGGTCTATGTTAACTTCCAGAACAAAATACAGCCTGAATGAAATATCTCATGACACAGCCATTGGACTAATAAACCTTCTTCTCTCGAGTGGCATTAATGTCCATGAGGTAAAGGAGAAATAGGGGTTATGTTGTTGGTGACATAAGTTGGTTTGATCTGTGATGTTTTTGGTAAAGTTCCCTTTTTAATTATATTTTTTTAAGTTTATCCAGTACAGTTGTAAACTACAGAGTAGCCTCTTCTTACATCATCATGTAAGAGAGAAGCCTTGGGCCAGACTGGAACAAATTGTCCCTCAACCTTTCCAT